CGCACTTTATTCGCTTGGTCCGCTTCGTCATTGGTCAGTTCGAACTGACCAATGGTAAAGCGGACTTAGTATGGCGCGTGCCATACATTTCAGTTCTTTTAGGCAGTGTGGTTATTCTTCTTTCCGCTCTATTTTACTGGATTTTTCAATGATTACAACTCATTGGAAATACCAATGGCAGCTTCACATGTTGAGACGTACAGTCAGTCATCGACGAGGCTATTTTTCCAGCTTCAGGATCGCTTTGCGCAGGTAGTGGGCACATTTCCGTTTGGCTAAGATTGTCTCTTCAAGTCATGAACTATGTACAGTTTGTTCCTCGTAGCTATCACTCTTTAATAACAGGAATGCAATATATGTGATCTTAAAAGCTTTTTTTTTGCCTTTGGCTTGTCATAACTACTGTATTATAGATCCCAACTGGTCATCGACTTGGAACAGTAGTCAAAACCAGGCGTAGAGGGATTGCGCAGCTGCTGTGACTGCACAAACTTCGCTAAAAATGTCTCGCTGAGGTTGTCCTTCAGAAAGGATGGAAATCAAGTGGTGCGCACTTGCATATGCTGAAACTGGGAATTCAAAAAAGTACTCAAAGTTGAAGTTCAGTAATCATAATGAACCAGTCAAGATCAAAATTGGAATTTCTATGTTTTCGAGGTTGTTCTTCTGCATAGCTATGATTGTTCGCAAAACAAAACACAAAAAGCACTTTTTTCAAACAATTTTTCAAAATCTAAGTTTAAGTTCAGCAAAATGTTCAAAGTGAATGGTTAGATAACGAGTTCATGCCATTACACATAGACATTTTATACGAAATCACTAATCATTTATGGATATGTGACTGACAAGATCGCGCCAACAGGTATATAGCTTGTAGCCAAGAGAACTGTAGTCAAGTCATTCTTGATAATAAATATGGATAATCATGAGGCGTCTCCGAATCAGTGATAGTCAACTAGTCATGACTACATAAGATGTAGGTTAGAACCTTAATGCGCCTGCGGCATTCTGCTCGAAGGAAACCTTTATGAGGTCATAACCTTGCAACGCGGAAGAGCGAAAACATGTAATTGAGTACATGTACCGTGTTCAAGTACAGGCAAGTCTCTAGTTTTATCCCACTGATGTAAGTTTGAGAACAGGCGTCTCCAGTTCAAACCGCTAAATTCTGATGTTTAAAGTTTGTTCGTAATTGTGTCCTGGCCTTTTACACAAAACAGACTATGTTGAAATGAAATGGAGGACCTCGGAAACGTAGAAATTCCAATTTTGATCGTGACTGGTTCATTATGATTACTGAACTTCAACTTTGAGTACTTTTTTGAATTCCCAGTTTCAGCATATGCAAGTGCGCACCACTTGATTTCCATCCTTTCTGAAGGACAACCTCAGCGAGACATTTTTAGCGAAGTTTGTGCAGTCACAGCAGCTGCGCAATCCCTCTACGCCTGGTTTGACTACTGTTCCAAGTCGATGACCAGTTGGGATCTATAATACAGTGTCATAACTGTAACAATGCTTTGTTTTTTTTGGTCGCAAAAATCTCGGGCTCCATATACTGTTTTGCTTGATGGGTGAGTACTTGCTCAAAAATGAATTTTTTCCTTGTTTACAACCGCCTTCTATTCATGAGATTGAATGCAGACAAACTTTTTCTGGCCATATCTGAAAAACTGAATTGGTAATGTGAAGTTACTTCGACAATGACGTAATTTTTTTTTCATAGTTATTCGAGCTCTCGCCTATTTTGAAAATGCAGCGTCCAGTCAGATTTTCAACTTTCATGTCATCACTCTTGGGCGTTTCCATAGACCCGATTTTATAATGGGTCAAACAAAATCTCTTTTTCCCTTCCACCCTTTTGTCTTTATTTTAGCAAGTTTGGACGAGTGTTCGCACTAGTATGATCACGAAGCACTGAGAGTCTGTCAGCTTGAAATCGTTTCGAAAAACCTTGCTGATGTGTTGAAGAAAAAAAAAGCCATTCAATGCAAGCAGAAGCAGGCAAGAATACATAATTTTCTGCTGCTATGCAATATTGACTAAATAATGGAAAAGTTGCAAAACTGTTGTATAAATCGAAAAGAGTGATTGGAACCTTCTAGAGTAGACTTGTGGTAGGATGAGCGCAAAATCCTTGCCTTTACATCAGGAATTCTGCGATATGCTTGTATACTGTTTGTAAGCTGTTTCCAGGTCGAGAAAGCCACTCTAGTTATTGCTGCTCGTTTTGGATTTATCCGCAGTATACTTTACAACTGGCCAATCACATCATCGCTGTTTCTGTTCCTGGTATCTTTCTCAGGTTGGAATTATAAAGATTATCATTATTATTCCTAAGGGTTGGTGGCATGAGAACTGGAATGCATTACTGGGGGAAGGAAGGGCGCTGTTTGCTTGTGGCTGTCATTTGCAAGACTATTCAATTGAATACAGCTTCGGCGGCGTATGTATTGCGAACTGAGGAGCGAGCTGGTCCGGGCATCACTGCTGTACGCGGGAATGCCCTCGATCTGACTAGCTGCAGAATGGAAGCAAAATAGCTGGTACATTCAGATAACGAACATTAGTATCCTACGTATTATCTATTCTTTGACTAGGAAACGCGACGCTTTGCGTGCGTCTGATTAATATGTGCAAGGGTGCGCTATGACGCGTTTAGGTAAAGACTATGAGGAATACGTGAAAGAACATGTTCAACCTCGCGTTGTGTATCGAGCAATATACCTATTCTTCCACGAATCCCAAGGGTAATTTACCAAGACTCGTTAAAATGCACTCACGAACATCGGTCAGACGTACGCAGAGCGTGCTCGTGTTTCTTAGTTGAAGTGCAAAACTTAACATTTTTTCCTGTGACGCTTACTTTGTGTGATCAGTTTGGAACGCATCTGTACATGCTCCAATCCATGCCTCACTGCGCTCCAGGTGGTTTGAACTACGTTCGACCTAAGATCCAGCATGCTCGCTATAACAGTGTCTGTAAGGAGCAGCGGGACATTGGACTTTATCAAGGGGAGAAGGAAGTACTTTTTCCACCTCATTCGTTTTCCCTGTGATTCCACTCTTTGACTTGGCATTTAGGCCGCCCGCGTTCTGTGGCGAATAGAGCGCTTTTGCTTACACTAGTGAACCAGTAATCTCAAGATGCTATCTGGAAGAGCGTTCGCTTTGGGACCCGCCCGCGCTTTCCCACTATTTGCAAATTTTTGAGCTAACGATTCTTTGTATCGTCTGTTCCCCAGCGAGATTTCCATAGATATCACGTCATCTCGCTCCTTTCGCTCTTTTGAGCGTGATAACCTCAGGCAGTTCCGTTGAAATCTCAGGAGAAACGTGTCAAAAAGAACGAAAGGCAGCGTCGCACCACGTACAGTCGAGTAGATTTTCCGCTCAATGCAGTGCTTGCACAGAAGGTGAAATGCGGTGAAATTTCGCGTGAACAAAGAGCTTCGACTGTGACGCCGGTCAGTTACGCGCGCAAAATGCCGGCAGTGGTGGCGTGGCTATATATCCACGCCCAAATTTCACCGCATTTAACCTTCTGTGCAAACACACTATATTAAGCGGAAAATCTACTTGACTGTACGCACGCTGGTTCACATGGAATTTTTTCTGGGGCACACAAGATATATCAGATCGATGACGGCCAATGACAAATTCGAAGACAGTTGACTTGAGAAGAGAGCGCAGAAAAGAAATCGACGACAGTGCACAGGGACTAGTAATCCGGTGCCATCTCTCGTCCTGGCGGACGGCCTTTAGCCCAACACGAAGGTGGTCCAGGAGAGCGCGATCTTTGTGGATGCTGCCTGGAGTTCACTTCCTCTTTCCTTCTGGTGGTTCTTCATTTGGAGTGGGCCAAGTGAGGGGGTTGCTGGGTTTTCTTTCCAATTTATTTAGCTTGATAATAACTAGAACTCAGTGCTTAACTGAGTTCTAGTCATTATCAACAGTTATTAACTTGTTACACTTGTAAATATTGTCGTAATTGGAGAATCAAAGAATAATACAGTTTTGAACAACGGAACCAAATAAATTTGGCCCGTCTTCTTTCCCTCTACTCTTCTCCTCTTTGAGGGATGTAAGGTCTCGGACAGACTTCACGCGATTTGATCGTCGCGACTGAGTCGCGACGAGACAACTGTTACAACATCATTCCATGCCGATCAACTTGCATTCGGTTGTGATACTTTTCCAGACCGAAATTTTTGAACGTGAAATGAAAATGAATGGAAATCTTGGCGATTAGATCGCGACGATTAAGTCGCGTGAAGTCTGACCGGGGCCTTACGGGTTCATTGCATGCCGGTCTTCCTACAATTCGGTTGTGATAGTTTTCCAACACGACATCGTGACTAACTATCACAACCGAAAAACAAGAAGATCGGTCTGCATTGAGTTCGTAACACTTGTCTTTTAGCGATTGAATCTTGTCGTGTTACGAACTCAGTGCAGGACGGTTAAGGTTTTACACAACCTTTGCACATCTGCAATCCTCTTAGGCCTTGCGCAGTTCCACGATCAAATCGCGTGAACGCAGCCCGAGGCCTAAGGAGATTGAAGGCAGATGAGCAAAGGTTGTGCAAAACCTTGACCGTTGTGTAGCGCATTCTGAATATGAATATGTGTGCGGTCATTGCGGATACCAGAACGTTACAAAGCATGAAACACTCAAATTAAGGGCATCATCTAAGTGGTCACCTCACACAGTCATATGCGGTTAAAAATTGTTATAATGTAAAGGAAAAACAATTCGCTCAAAGATAGAAGCCAAGAAAATGCGGTTGTGGAAACGTATGCGACGCATGGGCGCCGCCATTGTCACAATGTTAAAGGCAGTGTCCGGGCAAAAACTCGATTTTGAGATTTTGTGCTTACCTGGGCCTATTCGCTACGCTGAATCCGAAAATGCACATTGTAGAGTGCGAAAATGGCGAAAAATGGCTCTAACACAGGAGGGAAATGAGCAGGTGGGCGGAGTCCTCCCCACTGCGAATTCACGTTCCCGGCTTCCAGAGCGACCTTCTCACTTCCGGTTTTAAATCAATCATTCGCACTTGACCGGTAGCGATGTTAGGACGGCCAGCGGAATCGAGAAAATCGCTCCGGGAGCTGGGAGTGTGAAATCGCACTGGGGAAAGCCCCGCCCACCTGCTGATTTCCCTCCTGTGTTAGAGCCCTTTTTTGCCGTTTTCGCACTTTCCAATGTGGATTTTCGGATTCAGCATGGCGAATAGGCCCGTATAAGCACAAAATCTCAGAATCGAGTTTTTGCCCGGACACTGCCTTTAATGTCTTAATGTACCTCCTATGGCGAAGAGACTAGCAACTTGCTGCACCTCGCACCAGGAGCTGTACAGCGACAGAGTCTATATAGCTGCGCACTCCTTACATTCAGCAGCATTCAGTAGCATGTCATTGTAAAGTCCAACTTTCTGTGTTGAAATTTTTGAGATTATGAATAGCGCTTGAAAGCAGTGTAAAACGTCTCAGCTGTGCAAACTCGTTCCATCAACGTGCGATTGCACTAGTAGACGGTGCCGGTTTGAGGATTTTTTTTTTGGAGGGGTGGGAGGGGGGGGGGGGGGGGAGATGAGGTAAGAAGGCAATAGAAATCGAATGAAGAGCAAAGTGGCTGATCCCAGCCCTGGAAATTTTTCTACACAAACCTGTTTGGACTCTAAATATACTTGAAATTGTGGAAAGATTCTTGCTTATTTCCTCACACATAATATGAGCGATCCAATTCTGTCGCTTGTCATTACCACATGTTTCAGGCTGTTTCTTCGCGATACTATTGTACTGGAGTGCAAAAAGCTTGCTTGTAAATAAGGCTAACAATGGTGGACCACAGTCAGAGGGAGACAATAGTCACTTGGATACTATGCTTACCAGCAAGTCATCAGCAGACTCCCTGGTAAGTCTCGAATGATACGAATGTAGATCACAGAAACGCCGCAACAGAGAATTAAGTTTTGGTGGAATTGTATATCGGCTATTTTCTTTTCGTTTTTTTTTGTCAAAGCTATCATTTAGGCCCGTACATTATCTTTCTTCTCCTTTTTCTATCTTGCTTATGAAGTTTTTCATACCCTTACAACTACGCATAATGGATGCAAGATTACTGACGTGATTGATTAGATTTTCACTATTTTGTGTGATCCCCAGGGAATCCTCAGGCATCACCTCTCAATTTCAATGTCAATCTCCCTGAAAACTCAATGAAACGCTGTAAAATTGTACTATGGATATAGTAGGGTTTTGCTAAAGATGATTATGGTAGAAATAAGTGAAATCTAAGTGTATCGAAATCTTTGGTAATCCCTGTCTCGCGAGCCAGGGATAATCAAAAAATTCACTATCTTCAAATTCCACTTCTTCGTCGAAAGTATGCTTAGCAGTGCCGTGGTGTATCCTCAGTACAAAATTTACAGCTTTTTCATTGACTTCTCAGGAATAAAAAGCACTTTGAAAATATGAGGTGATCCCTAGGGGATCCCCTGAGGATCCTCTGAGGATCACACAAAATGGCAAAAACCAATCTTGTATGGAAGTAACCTGGCATGCATTATGCGCAGGTATAAGTGTATGAAAAACTTCATAAGCAATAGAGAAAGAAGAAGAATGATAGGTAGAGTAGCGAGATATGACGCATCCCCCTCAGATCCCTTCCCCTCCCCAGCGGGGATGTACGTGCATCGGGCCTTAAGCGTGTTTGTTTGTAGGTTTTTGATATCGTTTTACTTTGCACCGTCTTGTTAGTGATGGTTACTAGCTAAAATAATCTGTTTGTTTCTACACAGTTAGGTTAAGTCAATAGGTGTACTGTACCATTACTTGTGAAGTCATGTCTTTTGAATCCCGATGTAGAGAATAGTGGACTCTGCAACCGGTTGTTGTCTGAATCCAGATTTTAGCGTGATTGCTGTATTTCAAAAAAAAAAAAACATTGCTGTCAAACCTCTTGGTTGGGTTATTTTTTGACTGACTCGAAATCAGAATCAGACTCGAAATTAGAATCAGTTTTTCAGACATCGGATGAGTACATTCCTGACAATGTGGACGAAGTTCCGTCTTCTACAGATCTCCTAGACATTCCTGGCTGGGGAGTACATTCAGAACGAACACAAAGTTATCATAGCGAGAGTAACGTTCTACGTCGTAGGATATGACATCTGTTGTGAACTTATCTACCTGAACAATCCTGGTTCCTCATCCCAGGTCGTCTTTCACCTTTCTCCGAACAATCAGATTCTAGAACAAGCGTAGAATTGCACTTACAAAATTTGTCCATTAGAGCGAATTTTGAAAATGCATCGCAATCAAGCCGAGCAGTCCGTTGATTCCGGACAACATCCGCTAGAGAAGAACATTCTACGCTTGTTGTGCTGATTGACAAGTACACTTCCTCCAAAATATATTGCCTTGTTGATGCTCACTCTGGTCATGAAGTGCAAATACAATGTGGTAAATCCTTTTTTGTATAAAATTTTTTTTATTTTGTGCCTTTATTTTTGTTCGAGTGTTCTGTCACTTATACATGCACTTCCTTTCCCTCTCGTCGCTTAGCTCCAATCGTCATTTTTTGGTGCAGTTAAGGATGGAAACATTGCAGATGCTGTGATGTATGCCAGGGAACTGAAAAGATTTCGATGGTGTCTTCTGCTCTGTCGCTTGGAGATTCTGCTTCGCTCCCTCCTCCATGTCACGGATTTTGTGGTCGTTATATGTTGCTAAGCGGAAATAGCAGTAATGCTGAATCTTCTTGGTCGGAATGTGGAGTTAGTATGCTTTCAAATTTCCTCTTATTTCATATTAATATTAGTTTCCAAGTGACTTCTCCTCTGCAAGTAGTAGCCTTTATTGAAATATGCCATATATAGGTTGATTATTCGTTTTGGGCAAATAGAACATGAATGCTGTTTGTATCGTAACGGCACTCGTCAGAGAAAATGTTCGTGTTCTTGTTGATCCTCATTGATGTCTGTAGGCTGGGTTCATACTGATGTGTAAGTTCCGAAGTGTGCTATGCTGGAACTATTCCGGAACTTGCGGAACAATATGAACCCTGCCATAAAGTTAACGAACGGACCCGCTTTTGCTCCTGTATCCGCATGCATTCAGCCAACGGAGGTCACTCTTTTGGCGGTATGGTTAAGTTCTGTGGGTATAGTGGGTCTTATCTGGAATGGTGAAACAAATATCATATCTCCGACTGTAGTAAAGTCAGATCCAGTTGGTGCTTAGCTTATTTCAGAGAGTTTGCCCCTGGGGGGTTATATCATTATGAATTAGTTGGCAGGCGATGATTGAGCCCAAAAGTTTTATATGGTTGTTGCAGTGGCGTACCCAGGATTTCGGCCTGGGGGGAGGGGCGCGACAAAAAATAAATTTTTTGGGACGTTTCCCAAAATTCTTCCGGGTCCCTGAACCCAAAATTTTAGAAAAAGGGGGCGTGGCGGCAGCCACGTTCCCGAAAAAATTTTTTTACAAGGCTGATTTAAATGCTTAAAAATTTTTAAAAATTATTTCAATTATTTACAAGTGTAAACAAGTCTTCTGCTCATTTTATAGCACATTTAAGTAATTTTCAAAAATTTCGCGACCCATTCTCGGGGGGGGGGGGGGGCGCCCCCGCCCTGGGTAGGCCACTGGGTTGTTGGCATCTCGCTACAGATTACACACGTTGATTCACCAGACTGCCATACTATGAGACTCGGTTTGATTTTGCATGTCAACTTCTTCAGGGTTTAGCTTCCATTGTGACCTTAGCATTCTCCCTATTCTGATTGTCAAATATGTAACGCAGGTTCCTATTCCAGCCATGTACTTGGGGGAGCGCTGTCGTGGATCACCGTGTGTGCGCAACGTGCGACGCGGAGCTCTCCGCATACGACTGGCTCTTCTTGCTTTTTATGGCCATTCTCCCGCTTTTAGTACATTGCTTTTGCGTGTACTGGCATACACCTAAGAGGACGTACGTTAAGAAATGTATTATTCTCTGTAGGCCTAAACAACTTCAGGTCTCGTGTGCACGAATTATGCGAACATCTATGCTGTGTTATCGAATGTCTAGCTGCGGCTATCGCAGCTGTACTGGTATTCCCTCCTCGACTTTCTTTCAAACTCTGGGGCTGTGCTAGGTCTAACATAAAAGAATGGTAAGTTGTTTAACTTAGTTCACAATGATGTTGATGGGTAGCTCGTTTACTTGTCAGCTTGATTAGAATTAAAATAAGTGCTTTAACGACTGTAATTTACAATTTTCAGGTACCCTGAATTGTACAATCCTATTATCAACCATGTCAAACCTATGCGTTGCTCTTACGAAGTGGTTTTTCCTTTGTAAGCGAATTCATCAAATGTCTGATTGTTTTGGAATAACTGTTAACATGGTTCAGATATTCTCTGCCATTTGTTTACCTGCTTTTTCTGTTGGGTATGGTCTTGCTGTTTCGCACTGTCCTCTATGTAGTGGTGTTGAAGCGGAGAAGGGATGCTAAAGCTTATTACTGTGCATTACTCTCGATACCCAAAGTTGCCATCATACATGCTTTGCTGGTTGGTCAAACCAATGTATGATCGTCAAGACTGATTCTATTCTAGGCTGGAGTGTTATACCAATCTTATCCGTATATAGTCATGTTATGGAGTCTAGGTGCAAATGCAGTGCATCTTGCGGTCGAAGGGAAAATGTCAATGAAAGATATAGCAAGTAAGCACATTGAAGTCAACTAACGTGATAAAGTTGCGTGTTCCAGAGGTTGTATGCACTTCACCCATGCATCTCGCAATGTTGATGGTGAACATGTTTTTGTTGGCATTTGCGCTACTAGCCCTTTCTTTCCAAAAGTGAGTTGTGTTTAAATTTCTGGCGTTTCCATGTGTATCGGAATGATTGCGGCCGAATTTATAGTCGCGCGGTGCGAACGAGCAACTGAGCACTTATCATCGTATGAGCGCATGTGATGCACACATCACGACTTGATATAACCGCTTATGCCAACTTTCGCGGACGCTTTAAACGCTTTAAAGGCAGTGTCCGGGAGAAAACTCGATTTTGAGATATTGTGCTTACCCAGGCCTATTCACTGCGCTGAATCCGAAACACATTGGAGAGGCGAAAAGGGGCGAAAAACGGCCCTAGCACAGGAGAGAAATTAGCAGGTGGGCGGGGTCTTTTTCACTGTGAATTCACGCTCCCAGCTTTCGAAGCGATCTTGTCGCTTCCGGTTTCAAGTCGGTCATTCGTACTTGGCCGGTGAAGTGTTAGGACGGCTAGCGGAATCAAGAACACCGCTCCGGAAGCTGGGAGCGTGAATCCACAGCGGGCAGGACCCCGCCCGCTTGCTGTTTCCCTTCTGCGCTAGAGCCCTTCTTTGCCGTTTTCACGTTTTCCAGTGTGATTTGCAGATTCAGCATGGCGAATAGGCCCGTATAAGCACAAAATTTCAAAATTGAGTTTTTGCCCGGATACTGCCTTCAAGTGATTCGAATTTGTCCAGATTAGCCATTACTATTCTGTAGCTTTCTTTGCCAGACAGGTTTGATATAAATGTTTTATTCGGCGTAACGTTTCGGCAATAATGCCTTCCTCAGAGACCTGAAAGTCAGTCATTCACCTAAATCTTGCACTTTACACGGCCAAACCTCTCCTTTAGACTCGACTATTCAATTCATTCTAAGTGTACATCAACGAGTATCCAACTCACTAACAACTCACCAGGGGTCACGCTGATAATGTGCTTCGAAAGCAGTGCCTAGCTTCACCCAGAGATGACAAGAGTATAAATGGTCCTTTCAAGGATCTGTTTATATAGTGGGCATTATAGCTGGCAATATGACAGGAACGGCATGAGATCACTTGTAATAGAGAGTTGTTCATTTTTGCCATTCATTTTGGGCTCCCTGGATAGAATGAATGACGCCTCCAAGGCTTTACGAGCAGATATTTTTGTCTCTAAAGCTAATACAACGCACTTAACATTTTTTTAAAAAACGGGAAAACGTAACGGCACCGCTGGGAAAGCATAAAAAAGTTGATCATGGCGGCAATGATTTTAATGTTAAGTGCGTTGTATTAGCTTTAGAGACAAAAATATCTGCTCGTAAAGCCTTGGAGGCGTCATTCATTCTATCCAGGGAGCCCAAAATGAATGGCAAAAATGAACAACTCTCTATTACAAGTGATCTCATGCCGTTCCTGTCATATTGCCAGCTATAATGCCCACTATATAAACAGATCCTTGAAAGGACCACGTTTATACTCTTGTCATCTCTGGGTGAAGCTAGGCACTGCTTTCGAAGCACATTATCAGCGTGACCCCTGGTGAGTTGTTAGTGAGTTGGATACTCGTTGATGTACACTTAGAATGAATTGAATAGTCGAGTCTAAAGGAGAGGTTTGGCCGTGTAAAGTGCAAGATTTAGGTGAATGACTGACTTTCAGGCCTCTGAGGAAGGCATTATTGCCGAAACGTTACGCCGAATAAAACATTTGTATCAAACCTGTCTGGCAAAGAAAGCTACTGAATATATGACAAAATGCCCAGGTTTTACGAACAGAGAACGTACGAGACATTACTATTCTTTTTTATCGTAAAGCTGCCTTGCTTTCGTGCTTCCAACTCAGCTACGTAAATAATAGCGTATCGCACTAAATGTGAATCTGTAAGTGTTACTGCGAGTGCATCCTGCATCTGGATGCATAAAGAGGCGCTAAATAAGGAAGGAAAGAAAAACCTCTTACACGGAGAGTGTTCATCGACAACTTGGGTAAATATATTGTCACCATTTCAGGGACTCGGCCGTAAGCTTCTTTGCACTTTTGCTCGTTCCTGTGCCACCGCTATTCTATATGATAACTATCGGAATCAGTCATCCCAGTGTATTATCAGAAGTTTAGCAGTGCAGCCTACCTTGTGCGGGAATGACTTATTGTCTTTCGATTAGTGCAATCTTCGTCATAGACCAGCTGTTTTACAGTATTATATATCTGAATGTAATATCTCATGCTTTCATAAGCATAGCAGTTAGATGTGCCAGGGATCTTTCGTGCCTCTGATAGTGTTGACACTTCTCTTGTTGAAGCTTGTTTTTTCTTTTAGATTAATCGTCTTGCATAGCTCAATAAGAGATCCTATATGTTCATTACTTGTATAGTTTTCCGAATTTTTCAATGTTGATTCTTCTACCTTTTTACGGCCAACGGGTGCGGTCTGTCGTACGTATAAAATCATCATGCTGCCAGTTAACATTGTACACAATATAGTTTTTTTTTCTCATTAAGACTTATTTAATGTTAGATGATGATTATATGAGTACGTATGTGGATGTTCTGTGATATCACTGTCAAATAATAAAGATCTTTCTATAAAGACGTTCATTATCAGTTTGGTAGACCGTTATTATACTCGATAGTAAGTTTAAACTCCATATATAAGTGTTTCCATTTACAGTCCGCGCTCTAAGTGATGTTAAACAATGGTCAACACATTTTTGATTTTTGTTGCGGTTTTTATTCAAAAGGCAGCGTCATCTGCTGGGGATTTTTCGCTTTTGTATCGTGGATGCACTGATGGGTGTCGACGTTCCCATTCTTGTCCGCTTTCATTTGAGAGCTGCGGTTGGACCGAGGGCTCATGTTTTAGGTGTGTTCGGCAAAGAATTATAGCATGTAAAATGAATATTCTAGTTGTCGATATAAGTGCATGTGGAAAGCGGTGGATATGTTTGTCGACCAGCATGATTTTGTTCCACAGTTTCACGGAAAATGGCCATTTATAGCTGTGCAGTTGCCTGTTTTGGGATTGTTCGATATTACTATCCAGGTAGAGCTTTGCTGCACTTGATTCTACACTTTGAAGTAATTCACAGGCTAGCACACAAGTCTTCTTGTTTGTCAAGTCCCACTGATGTGCGAAAACTTTGCAAAGACATTTTTGAAAAAACTTTTCCCTTAGTAAAATATTGAAAGGGATGAGGATGCAAGCTGAAAATGAAAGAAGAGTATAAAGCAGTTTCATAGTATTTTTGCCCTCAACTTTACACTATCCAGTTTCGGGACTAAAACCTATGCCGGTAGTGCAATTTCGTTAGTGCCCTCGTCCGCAGTCTTCAAGGAAACCTTTAACAAGTAAGAAAGAACAAGACCAATTTTCAGATTAACACGTTTCGGGCGAAATCGCGCGCAGCGAAAAAGAGTGTACTTTCAGCCGTTGGCCTACAAAGGGAACTTCGCAGACTGTGGGCTAATCTGTAGTCAGCATGTCAGATAAGATCCATACCCAGAGTTCTGAGTGAATTCGAAGTGTCTGAATTTTGTCGCCTGTGAGGGACTTTTTTGCTTTCTTGAAAGATAGGAGTAAGAACTCAGTTTCAAACAATATGCAAAAGTATCTATGTTGTGTACAGTACACTCCATTATTGAAACTACGGTTCTTCTCTCTGAAATCGAAGCAAGGGAAACTTGCGACGTCGCACGCGTCGTTCGCGTTGCCGCACTTTGTTGCAACTGTTGTTCGATTTTGCTTATATCTCTTAAAGGCAGCGTCCGGGCAAGGTCCATCTACCCATATGAGCACATAGTTGTAAAGAGGGGCCCTTGAGTATCCGATCTGCGTTGGTCCGATCCTCTGATGTGGCCTCTAAAAGGAGATACGGGCCTGTGATAAAGGATAAAGGATAAAGGATTCGACGTCTTCGATACCCTCTGGGGGCATGCGCCGAACGCACACACTAACTTCATAGTCGAAGAGGCAATTGTATGCGTGCGAGCCTATTACAGTGACTTGCGGGGGCCAGCCGTTTCCAAGTCAGTGCTTTTATCCTCCCAGATTACTCTGGTACCAATTTACCAGCCCCGGAGGGTAGAGGGCTTGGTTGGCCCAGGGGCGGGGATCGAACCTGTGCCCGATCTGGTCATAGTGGCGCCTCATACCACTATGCCACTCGTCCCCCTGTGATACGTCCCTCGTCCTCGGGCCTGTGATACGTATCACAATCCGCCCCTTCGTATCACAAACCACCGCTGAGGACGTGTGCTCACGCATCGATCGATCATGGATTGCAACTGCACCCATGCAGTTGCAGCTCCTCCTCAGTGGCGAGCCGCGGAGATTAACAATCCGAAACTCGTCTCGTCCTTAAAACAAGGTCCCAAGGACGGGTTTTTTGAGGGTTTTTGTCAATTTGAACTTTACAACTGTAACCAGGGCCACGAAAAGGCCCTAGAACGACGAAAACATGAGAGGCAAAATTTTGCCCGGACGCTGCCTTTAAACAAATATTGGCGGCACAACTCTACAGAGTCACTTGAAAAGTAGAAGCTTAGGCCTTTGAGTTGATAACCTTGGACTAAAAGAAAACCTTCTGTAAACGTCAAAAAGATTTTTTAAAGCAGCGTGCTGCACCATGTTCAGCACCGGTGTCAAAAAAAGAAGAGCACGGATAGGTATATAAGTGAAGTTAAATTTGGCCGAAGCATACGTGGAGCATTTCTACATTCGTTAATCATTGACGCCGGATATGTCTAGTATATTCCGTATTTATTCACCCCCTCCTCCTCATGCGAAAAGCCCGAGACATGTTCGCACGCGGTGAGTGTCAAAGCCGCATTGACCACTACACTCAGAATGGAATCCCCCGCACATGTCGCGCACTTTATCTAGACGAAGCAAAGGCACCCGCCATATTTGATCCTCTCCTCTTAATGCACTTGATCCGATTCATCATTGGTCAATTCAGTGAACTGACCAATAGTCAAGTGGATGAAGTGCATCAAGCGGACAACCGCTTCGCTATTGCTCAATTCACTGAATCGACCAATGACGAAGGGGATCAAGCGTAAGTGGATTAAGCGGATCAAGGATGGCGGGTGCCAAATATAAAGCAGTAGCGCATCTGCGCATTGAGAATGATCTATCGAAGGTGTCAATTGCGCCGCGCCCTCGCGACAAGCTGACAACAATCAGGTAGCGGACAAAATCCTGCGGAAATGCTGGCAGATCAAGCTTGCGAAATCGCTGCGATTTTACAGCATTTCCGCAGCGCTTTATGCAAAATGTTGCGGAAGTTCCGGTTTCCAATTGCTCTGATGATTTCCTGCGGAATCCCTGCATTTGGGAGCGTGCACTTTCTTAATGGTTAAAAAAATGTTGCGGAACCGCTGAAGTATCTGCTTGTCCTGCGGAAGTTCCGGTGAATTGTCTGAGGAGTTCGCAATGTCTGTTCGTTTCTCACCGCTAGCGAATCCAGCCCTTTACGTACGAAAAAAGGGTTTTTAAGTTTGTCTGAACTTGGGTTAAGTTTGCCCTAGAGCTAAGCCCGCTGTAGATTCAAGTTTGCCCTAGAGGTAAGTCCATCTGTATTCAGACAATCGCCGGGGGCAGGCGGTCCGCAAACTCGCGCTTTTCTGCAAGCGGTCAGCAAAATTTTGGGGCGTGGCTAAACCTTCAGCGAGCGGTACTTCCGTTTTCTGCCAATAGAAAATTTCCTGCAAGCAAACGTCAAATAATCTCCTTCAGCGCTGGCCAAACTTTCAGCAGGCGCTCGGACTCTTTTTACGCAGTTTCGGGCGTACGCCGAGCAAAGGTGAGACTCTATGTGGCAGAGGTGTCATCGATGGTTTGATTACTCGAGTTTGGGGTACCTTCCCTCAGCGGAAGGTACCTGCGTGCTGTGCGATCCACAAAGGATCGCGCGGCCCTCAATATTTTTTCATATTCACGCGGAAAGTCTGCGAGAATGCGGCCACTTCGCCGCAACTAATCTATAGAAAAAGCACGATTGTTCTTTGAGCATTCGTCTCAAAATTGGACAACATTCTTCCAGATTTCTGCAAGCGGACCGCAAGAAATCAGCAAACTATTTTTTTCAGTGCCCGCTTGTCCAAAAATAGCAGGGCCGCCTGCTCCCGGCGATTACCTGAGTAGGTAATCCTTGACAACAGAATGGACTTACTGTTAGGACTTTTTGAAAAAAGAAGCGAACTTATATGCTAAATTTAAGTAATTTAAACTTAATCTCATGCCCACTCTCAGCATCTTTGAGTAGGAACTGACGTTTGGAGTAAAATTTTTTGGGCACTACTAGATCAAATGCTGTTGCTTTGGCAACGACTCCGTTAGGGTCGCCTAATCAGTAATTCAGTTCGAAACCTATATGAGTAGGTTTGTCTGAAATACCACATTGAATTGATACATATTATGACTATCCCTAGCAATTTGTATTAAACTCTTTGCCATAAGTCTTACAGACTTTCGACTTACACTACTCGCTGTTTTTATAACAGTTCGCACCTAAAGTTTTAGGAACCTGCTTCGTTCATTTTCTCCTTGATGAACTTCTACTCCGTATGGATATTTCTCAAATATGTGAAATCCACAAGATCAAAGCTCGAGAATCGCTTGCTTTGGAGGATTTACGGTTCCGTTGGTCTAGTCACCTGGTAAGCTTTTTCTGCTTTCTAAATGAAGTTCTTTGCGGTCGAAGCAGTTTTGTCAATTCGATATGTTAAGCATAGTCCAGCAGTACCCAAGTGTGAATTTATACACCAACTCGTTCAATTAAGGCTTGAGAACTGGGTGCAGTGATAATTGATAGTTCACTCCTTTGATAGTTCACTTTTTTCAGCGACTCATAAAGAGGGACAGCAGAAAAGTTACGGAGAAGAATTCGCCTTCTCTCATCGTTCATTTCCAGATAGGGGAACGAAGACCACCAGACTGAGCAGCCTCCGCGGGCTACTGGTCCTAGAACGACATGCAACAACATTGCAAAGGACCAGTTGGCCGCGAAAGGCAGCTCAAACTGGCGACATCGTTCCGCTATCCTCCATTTTCTAATGGGAAGCAAGGATGAGAAATTGTAAGAATGACACAAAGAGCTACTTGAGAGCTACGATCAACATTTTACGCTTTCTGGAAGACGTGGGTCTAAAAATTTTGAGAATTTTTTGCCAAAAAAGTATAGAAATGGCCACGACTCATAGTCGCAGACAAAAATTCTTCGAACGCGAAATCTTTTGCTATCTTTTGAAAGTGAAAAGAAAAGCATTTCGAACAGATAAGCATTATACAGAGCTCATCAAGTACTATAATGTGGTTATGACTGGTTCCTAAAAAGCACAAGCTAGGGTTTTATTTTGCAATTTTTGGAACGTGAAATGCGAAACATCCTAACAAATTTCATGGAAAAAATGGATGCTCTTTATCTTTCTCTATGCATATAATATGTGATAGTGAGTTTCTTTGCTGAGAATAGCTTTTAGAAGTGCGTGCAGATGAGCTCGACTGCACCTCACTAATAGCGTGTACTGAAAACCCTTTCGGGCTCGGTACGATAGATAGAAGCGGCTCGCTAGCACGAAGATCCTTCGGTGACAGGGCCATATGAGTCCCATCATATTGTCTAAAAATATTTTTGGTATATTTTTTCTGTTTTAAGGGGTCTGCATAATCTGGTGTACGGGTAATTCAGTCGGATCCGGAGTGAATCGATTTTCCGAACATGGCAAATTTTTTCCGATTGTTCTCCAACTTTGTCAATTTTGCAGTGAGGTTCATGGAAGTAAACTTATATACAAGAAAGCGAATAAAGTTGTTTTTCGGGAACATGATAGAGAACCTTGGCGAGTTGCCGCAATCGGACGAGTATCGATATTGAATTCGGATCTCGAAATTACAACAAAGATTTCAATCTTGATTTCATGAGTGTTGCTGGATGAGGGGGGACCTATGCGTGCAGAGATCGGCTCTGTATACGGTGTTAACTTCGCAGCTGACAACTAATGACCTCTATCACTACTTGGGCAAATTTTACTGGTAGGTAAGTCCCTTAAAGGCAATGTCCGGGCAAGATGGGGGTTTTGGGATTTCACCGTCAGCGAAAGGGGCCCTCTTTAGACACAGCACTGCGCAAGTCCGAGGTTATATCGTTCGACTTATAACAAGAAAAGCGATCGGGAAGTGGGGAAACTTACCCCTTGGCGCGCGGTCCTCCGACCTGTTCGAGTTCTTGCTATGCGGCAGAGTACGCAGGCCCTCACCTTTAAATTTGTGGGGTCCCGCAGTGACACTGCGTCTCTGCCATGGAGGGGACCGTCGAGTTTCAAATTGTAGGGCTTTTAGGCCCATATGCACGTACATCCATTGAAATAATCCCCGCTGGGGCTCCCCTCCCTTCCCCACGCGAACCCCCGTATGCACAAAGACAATACCGGGGAAGGGATCCCCTGGAAGTAGGGGAAGGGAACCTTATGCGGAAGGGGGAGCGGGGAAACTATTTCGCTTCCGCTTCTTATGGTTTTACTCCTCTTTTCTCATCTTTTGGTAGCTACTCGCCTCCAGCATTTCACCGGCAATAATTTAGTCGTTTCGGAATGCCGCCTGCCGTGATTGCGCTCGGCGCACCAAAAAAATATTTCTTACGCACAATATATTCCTGCTGTTTTCATGAATGTTGCTCACTAATGCTGCTCATTTCAGCGTGAAAGTGTTCAACATTAGAAGTCATGATGTCTCTGCAATGAATGATTAGAAGATATTATGCTGCCGAAAAAAAATGGGGAGGGTGCCGCGGACATTCAAACCAGCATTTCTACACATAACAGAAGCTGCTAATCGTACCAACTCTTCATGGAGGCTGTGGCTGTTAGCGAAATACCGTCTATTCCCCCAAGGGAATGATCCCCAGCGGCCATCCCTGCTATGCACGAGGGGAACGCTGGGGAGGGGATCACTCCCCTGGGGATCTCTAATCAGAAATAGGCAAATCTGCTACTTTCTAGATTTTTTCAAGGCAGCTTATGTATGGAAGTTACAATGTGTTTAATCAGCCTATATGGCTAAAACTGTCAAGTCATATGAAAAATGCGCAGTTTGCGTGAATGTCAAGAACTCCTACAAATATTCGAAATTGGCAAACATTATATGCACTGGTCTCTTCTCAAGAAGCGAATACAGAAGAGGGAGATAAGATTGCAAGCTGCAGGTCGCCGAAGAGAAATCCAACCTTTGGAGAAAATTCTTCCATCAAATGGAACGGAAGGCTTTGTAATATTTGATTGAAACTAGAGTATTCGCTCCCTGGCACGATCTACACCATCGAACCCCTACTCCGTTGCAGGGGATGTCGACCCCTCCCCCGCGTTGTTGAGCTACATTCGTGCATACGGGGAGGGGAAGGGAAAGGAGGGATCCCCACTGGGGTTCGCCCGATCGATACCCTTGAAATCAATCATCGAATTGGTTGCAGCGAAAGAGTACCGCAAAGAAATGGCTAGCAATCGCTCAAAAGAAATCACCGAAACTACAGAACTGTACACTCATGAATTCTGCTATGAGGTATAGCCATAACCATTGAAGCGGTTGATAAAAAATGGGGCAGCTTGATTTTTATCAAATTTTGAGATTTTTGTTTCGACCAACAACAAGCAAGCTGCAATGTAAAAGTCGCTTGTATAAGTGACCTTCGCCTATATCCTGGAAAAGCGTCAGCGCTCCTCTACCACAATCCTACGCGTGACGCCGTGAAGAACTCGAACAGGGTTTTTTACACATCGCTCATTCTTGCGCTGCCATACCGTAAAGTTATAGAGCACTTGATATACCATTTGACAGAGCTCTTCATGCTCTTTCAAACAAAATATCAAACAAAATTTCTTCTATTTTGGGTTAAAAAAAGCGAAATGCCTGAAAAATCGCGATTTTTTGGGGCAACGAAAACCAATTAATCAAGTTTCAATCTGTATTTTCAGACAAAATGTGAGGTAATCCGCATTTGGATCGATAGAGCATGAAAAGCTGTTTCATATGGTCCCTATAAAACTTGTGTTCACCTGCAAAGAATTGAATGGCACGTATCTTTGTTTTCAAAGCTGCTAATGGCCATATCTCCTGAATTTGAAAGTTGAGGCCAGCAACCCATCGTCGGTCTGGTGACTGTGCCTTCACGCATTGTAGCAGTAGTACTTTGGATGGTTTCGCATGTTTCACTGCGCAGATACTGAAGTTGAAGTTTATAATTTGTCAAAGTGACTGACTTTGCATTTCAGCCACTATAAAAATCTCATATAGGTATTTTCTGAAAGAGAATAATTGATTCTAACATTTGTCAAAATTGGGAAGTTTAATCACTTTTCTTTTTTGATAAATCTACATTTATTCTTTAGGTGCCCCATTTTTTACCGATCACCCTAATATATGCTAGAAAACCATAATATGAAAATAGAATCATTACTTTAAAAATCAACATTATTACTACGAAAGCACGTAACGAGTATAACAAAGTCTGAGCCAGTGATAGGGAAAAAAGAAGAGACCGACGGAGGGATATACAATGGGTGTAAGTAGATAAAGAAGAAGACGGAGAAAAGGAGCAAAGGCACTCGAAATCCCTATTTATGTACATTTTATTCCAAAAGCCATTCTAGTACACAAAATTGGGTGAAAATAGCTCCTTTGGCGAGGTCTTCTGGTAGCTGTGAGCTGGATGCGACCACCGCAATGACACCATCCCCGCTGTAGGTGCAAGGGAGGGGATCGTTCCCCTCCCCTCTGGCATAGCGGGATTCAAAGAAGGGGACCGTTCCCCTGGGGATCCAGCTCCCCTCCTCTCCCCGGCGGGAATGTACGTGCATACGGGCCTTAAAAACGCATGCTCTTGCCGTTTTCGCGCCTTTTAATGTCGATTTTCGGATTCAGTGTTGCGGATAACCCCCGTAAGAGGATTTTCCAAAAATTGAGTTTTTGCCCGGACATGCCTTTAAGCTAGGCAAAGCTGCCATCAGCTTGGCATTGCAATTATTTATTCAAGCGTCAGATTCGCTAACTTAAAAGGTGAAATAAAGGTCCTTCCAAGATTAGTCTCCCAGTGACAACTTGATATTTGGCCAAAACTCGTTAGTAGTGAAAATTTCAGGATCTGTTCAGCATTATTTCACTCTCGCGATTGTTGGGTCACGGAATATCTCGATTATTTCTCGGCCTTTGCATACATACTTAGCGCCTCTTATGTCTCCTTTTGCTTTACACTACCATGGATAAATAATTTCTGGAATCGGCCAGTGGTGTAAGTTTCGAAAAATTCAAATCATCTCTAGGATTTTTATTTATATCATACAGCTTTCTTACTTATGGCGTGGTGTTGCTCCTTTGGTTCGTGAGACATGTTTATCAGATGCTTGTTAGTTCTTTATCTATTCTCATGTTATTCTACAAGACATGATCGCGCTTTTCCAGCTACACTTCGATTACGGATATAATATGTACTGCTGTATAGGAGTTTCATTTTACACCACTCTGATGTATTTGCTGTATATAGCTATGCGACGGAATTATCATCAACGATTACTGCATTCTGACCATATGCTGATCTTGATAATCGTGTGGACGAATGGATCAGTGCTGCTAGAAACACTCGATTTTGCGCCAATATTATGGATCTTTGATGCTCATTCATTGTTTCACGCCGCTACTGTACCTCTGCCTTTTTACCTGAAAGCTTTTCTGAAAGCCTATATTATGGAAAGAACATATCGACTAGATAAGCCTGGAATGTACGATGAATAATATATGTATTATCTATTCAGTGCTGTCACGACATTTGCTAGTGCTAGGAGTGTAACCATAGTTATCAACCGGTCAATGATCGAGATTTTTGAAACTTGTAAAACACACAAGTGACTTTATCGTACTTGGGACAATTAAGAATTTTTTGAAGTCTAAACTGGCCTGTTTAAATAAATTTGGGTCTTCACTCAAAAGCATCTTTTTACTTTCCCCCTTCGAACGAAAATCTTGGATTGACACTGGTATTAACAAGCAAACTTGTTTGTTTGTATGCTTTCACAACTTGAATGTTTCTTGTAATCCTACAAAAGACCAACCAATCTGTTAGCTATTCTTCTCAGATGTAATTGAGAACACTATAATTTTTATCTTTATGTAGACAGCTTTTTGTTTTGAATTGAGCTGCCAAGTTGTCATCTATTTTTATTTACGTATCAATTGTCTCTCGAATTAGTAGCTAGCTAAGGATTGAGTGCCTTAAAATTACTCAGTGATGGGACTAACATCTTGAAAGGCACTCACGACTTAATGGCAATGTCCAAGCAGATCTGGGCATATGGGTTTTTGCCTGGAAACTAGAGAGGGGGTTCTAGCTATGGCATTATGGCACTGCCCAAACCAATTCATTCACGTCTCAGAAATCCATCCCCAAACACTGCGGCTGCGCCGTGACCGTTACACTTAGGGCCGCATGCACTAACCTCCCCGCTGGGGAGGGGATTGCAGCTTAAAAGAAAGCTTCATATTCTGAAGCTCCAGATATCTGGATTTCTCTTGTGTACCTATCCGTAAGTATTCCTACTAACCTTCACTATGAACATGTTGAACAGGAGCGAGAAGCTGTACGAACCGCATTTTCCAGCTTTTGTATGATCCCTGATGATCCCCGGCGCTTTTCTTTAAAGTCATTTTTCTTTCTCCGAAGTTGACGAAAACCTTCCAAAGTTGTACTGAACATCTAACACAACAGTGTTAAGCATGTTGCTGATGAGAACAAATGAGTTTTTAAAAAGTCGAATTTTTCGGTAAGCCTCAACTTTCGACCTGTGGATCATCGAAAAATTCATGACTTCAAAACATCATTTGTTCTTATCAGCAACATGCTTAGCACTGTCGGGTTAGATAATACGCACAATTTTGGAGGTTTTCCGTTAACTTCGGAGAAAGAAAAATGACTTTAAAGAAAAGCGCTGGGGATTACCAGGGATCATGCAAAAGCTGGAAAATGGGTTTGTACAGCTTCTCGCTCCTGTTCAACATGTTCATAGTGAAGGGTAGTAGGAATACTTACGGATAGGTACACAACGTGAAATCCAGGTAACTGGAGTTTCGAAATATAAAGCTTTCTTCTAAGCTGCGATCCCCTCCCCGCGGCGATGTTAGTGCATGCGGCCCTTAGACAATTGCATCAGGTTCGCGGGTGCTTGCTCAGCCACCAATCATCCATGCCGCGAGCTGCCCGGTATAGACCGATATTGGATATATGATATATATATATGATATATATATCATATATATATCATATATATATATGATATATATATATATGATATACCGATTTATGCGGATGACATCAAGCTGTATGTATGCTATAATGAGGAAAGTCATCATGTCATGCATACAGCACTTCAATCTTCTATCGATAAATTGGGTAGATGGGCGTCGTGCAATGGTCTTTTTCTAAATGCTAGCAAGTGTTCCTTTCTACACCTTGGTAATTATCAGCCGACTGAGTATGAAGTGAATGGTACTTTGCTGACTGTCTCTTCATCAGTCAGAGATCTGGGTATATTGATTGATTCTAAATTGAAGTTCACAGAGCATATTGATTATGTAGTGCAAAAAGCTTATGCCTCATTATTTGCAATCTTTCGAAATATTCATTCATCTGACCAGATTTTACTTACTAAATTATATAAGGCATATGTTATCCCACACCTGGAATATTGCTCTCAGGTGTGGAACCCATCTTGTAGAAAGGAAATACTGAAGGTCGAAAAAGTCCAACGCATCTTCACGCGTATGACTCTTTTTCGTAAACTCCAAACTATTTCAAGAGAAGATATTCCTGCGTACGATGGACGTCTTAAGATGATGGGTTTAAAGCCTCTCTTGAACAGAAGAATCATATCTGATCTGGTTTTTTGTTTTCGGATATTAAGGAAGGAAATCGATCTGAGAGCTAGCAGCTTCTGGGTCTTTAGACTAGTAAGCTGTAGGCTAGGAGGATTCAATCTCCACTATCCCAGATTGAACAAAAAATTCTACTCCGGTCTTTTTGATTCGTTGTTTTATCGATGTGCCCGTTGGTTAAATCGATTACCTACTGAACTTTTGTCATCAAAAAATGGGTGGGTATTGAAAAGGGGTCTGCAAAAGATGGAAGTCTCTGAGGTTCTGAACTGTAATTCTTATCTTTGTTGATTTTCACTCAGTTTGATTCAGGTCATGAAGGTGGACAAGTAATCTCGATATTCGCAAGTTGCTTTATCTTAGTCTTTCATCATTTTTGTGTTAGTGTTCTGTTTATCTCGATATTGTTTTTTTTTTCAGGTCGTCATGCTAGTTCTGGCACGATTTGAGCTTTGTGTTACTACAAAATTTTTATATCGTTTTTCAAATGGAGTTTACGGACTCTGAAGCTTATCTTTCCTGCCATTTATCCTCAATTTTTCTGCCTCTTATTAGAATGAGTGTACATCTATGGTACCATTCATCTCTGTAGTAGTTGTTTCTGACCATGTTTATATTTGCTAACCGTGAACCAACCTGTCTTATCAACAAGGGGTTTTCTGATGGCGTTGTATCACAGCTACCTAGCCCCATGCCCTGCTACTTCTCCTTGAAAAGTTCATCTAGATGCTCAATAGATCTTGCTCCCCTCTAAAATTATCTTTACTGGGGGCCAGTCAGCTAGCTTTACCCGCAGGCTCGCTGACACTCAAATGACGGGGTGGGTCATAATAATTTTAGAGTGAGCAAGATTTGGATTCTATACAGTCTATGAAGGTCGTTCGCAGTTTGACTTTTTTAGGTGGTTGAACGTCTTGGTAGGTCTGGGGAATGGGTTTTTTCATCCTGTTCTTCTATTTCTCTATTTTTTTTAACTCCTGCGATTGAGACTGGCTGGATTCTCGTTTTGTTCATAGTTGCTTTGTCTATTTCTTCTTTTTCTCATTTAGGCGCATCATGAGTGCATTGAAATAAATAAATAAATAAATAAATGTTGGACTCAGTGAGTGACCGCGGCGCATCCTGTAAGCGCCCGATAGTTGACCCGATTAGCATGCTTGTGAGGCCTAGGAAGAGTGAAAAATTTTGGCCTGTCTTTCATGACAACGACTGAGTACAAATTGAGCAACTTGTTAGTTCATCTGTGGGTGTATCCCATTACTTGTGACTGCCAATTACGCAGGCGCCGCGCGCGACAGGCTGGCAATAATCAGTTGCGCGAGAGCTCGGGAAGCCGACTTGCAAGGCATACTATTCCATTTTTTGTAAAAGTTTTTACACTGTCGTACCAAATTTTATACTGTTTAGTGGAAGTTTGGCCCCAAATCTTGCGAAAATGAAGAAGATAGTGAATGGAAATATGAAAATTACTATGTGTGGTTACAAAATATGTAATTTTTCTTTACTATAACAACGTGACCCCTAAACATTTCCTCTGGGACATTTCCTCTGGCCCTGCTGCCTCTCACCCGACTTACGGTGATACCGCGTCGCGGCAATGTCCAGTTGACACCCACAAGTAATGAGGGCCCCCCTTTATCTGTCGACATCATCTACTTTTGTAGATAACACTCAACCGATTGCTGAAGTTTGTTTCGTGAGCGTATAAACTCAGCGTCACACAATCCAATCCGAGAAGCGATTACCAGCCCCACAAACACTTAGGGTAGTCCCATCGCTGCGGCGTACCTCACGCCGGTTGCGCCTTGAGCTACAGCGTGTAAGAAGTGCGGCCTTTGATAGGGCCCGCGGCACGCCGAGTGAGGTGATTGGGCCGCGACTCTCCCGATAAGCTCTATCCATTTTTAATTTTGGCCGCGGAGTTCCCGGTAAAATATACATGGGCCGCGGCGTGCGCGGCTGAAATTTTAAGGGCCGCGGCGCCCCATGTAGCACGCTCTGAGGCCGCGAACTTTCCGATGCAATTGTCTGAGTAGGATTGGTCCCAGAGCGGACGTAGTGTTGAAGTGAGCGAAGTCGTTTTTAGGTTACGGTCACGGCACAGGTGCGGGGCTTTCGGGGACAGATTTTCAGCCGTAAATGAACAAGTTGCGCTGCCCTTGGGCAGTCTTTGGTAAAACACCCTCATCGATTTTCAGGCGAAAAACCCATGCGCCCGGATTTGCCTGGACACCACTGCCTTTAACAACATATGATTAAAGATATTATCGGAGCTCCTGACGACGCATATCAACGAAAGAGCGAATCGATGAGATGCATACACGAGGGAAACGGTGAGGAGGTACGACCGCCGCGAATTTCCGCGAAGCGAAGCCGCCGCGCACTTCCACGGCGGAGCGGTGGCCGCGCGCGACGTACGTTCTGACGTGCAGCCCATACATGGTAACAAAACTTGATATTACACAAGGAGGACGAGGATAATATCTCATAAAGATTTTAATATCTGGGCACAATGTGTCGTAGATTATCCAAATACTACACCTTAGCAATGTAGATCTATCATGTATGTTATATCTATATCTTATATATAAAGCTGAATGTCTGTTTGTATGTATGTCTGTATGTCTGTATGTCTGTATGTATGTACGTATGTTCCGAATAGAAATTTTTATTTCTGAACCGATCCGGACCAAACTTGGCACACATACACTTTGGGCCCCGGCGGGTGTCATAGGCTACTTTTCGTCATCGATCGATATCGAGTTTATCGATTTTTATCGATTTTTTTGCAGAGTTCACCTACGGGGCTGGGAGTTGGCACAGGAGGGTAACCGAGCATGGGGATTCCGAGTACAATATTAGTTTTCAGGATTATCGATTACTTTTATCGATTTTATCGATTTCTTGCAAAGTTTGAGCTACAAGGCTGGGAATTGGCGCGGGGGGTAATCGAGCATGGGGATTCCGAATACAATATTAGTTTTCAGGATTATCGATTA